TTATTTTATGTAAATCAATGTTTTGCCTACATATATATTTGTGTAACATGTGTGTGCCTGGTGCCCAAAGAGGTCAGAAGAGGGCTGTAGGATATCAGGGAACTGGAGTTTGGATGGTTGTGAGCCACCATATGGAGTCTGGAAATTGAACCCAAGTCCTCTAGAAGAGCAGCCAGTGTTCCTAAATGCTGAGCCATCCTCTAGTCTTAGAAGTTTTTCTTTTTGGGGGCTGGAGAGATGGCTCAGCGGTTAAGAGCACTGACTGCTCTTCCAGAGGTCCTGAGTTCAAATCCCAGCAACCACATGGTGGCTCACAACCATCCGTAATGAGATTGGATGCCCTCTTCTGGTGTGTCTGAAGACAGCTACAGTGTACTCATAAATAAAATAAATAAATAAATCTAAAAAAAAAAAAAAAAGAAGTTTTTCTTTTAAGCTCTAATAAATTGCCCTTGAATTTCTGTTTGAGTCTTAAACTCTTTTATTAATGAGACTAAGAATCCTAAAATGAGACCCCAAATTCCATGCTATCTCTGATAGCCACAATGAGATGCTTCACAATTCTGGTAACAAGCAGGAATTGAACTCAGATCTTCAAGCTTGTCAACAAGCACCATTTCTTCTTAAATGCAATAACAGTCTTATTTATATAAATCTACCAGTAGTTGTAACATTACTTTACCTTTCAGCTTTCATCATTAGTTTTCTTTCAGCATATTGGCATGATATATACTAAATAATAACAACTTTGCATTTTAAATTTATTTTACCATTAGATTCTTCTTGTAATTGTTCTTCTGTGTTTTGTCACATTCTCAATATGTAGCCATCAGTATGTTGACTTTTTTTTGATAGCTTGAGGGGTATCATTCCTAAACTCGAAAATTAAATTGATGACAACAGTCTTCCAAGACCATTGACCCTAGATATGACAACAACAACCCTTCACCCCCTGAGATGAGTTACCTAAGGTGCAAAAGAAATGCTGGTTCACAGTCAACAGGACACAGCAGTTCCAAACTAAAGTTCTTGTGCTGCAGGGATTTCAGCCAATCTCTATGACAAGGGACCTATCTCTGATAGGTAAGTAGAAGAGGGAGAGAATTCACCATCTTTCTTAGTCAGGGACTACACCTTCAACAGCATAGAAATAGTTATAGAAGATGCAGCACCATCCTTCAGATTCAACCCTTTAAAACTCCGGGGTTCACAGCTCTAAGAGGAGAGTTGATGCAGGAGAAAAGGGAAAAGAAGACAACATGGAAGCCCTTACGAAATTAGTATATGGGGGAAAACAACCAAGCTGACAAAAGAGGAAGGGTGGAAACTCCCTGCATAGAACTTATTAAAATGGCTGGTGCACACTGGCATTGCAGGTAACACATGGCTCCTTATAATGCTCAAATAAGTACAGATATTTAAGACTTTATGAGACATGAAGTTATATGTTGAACTGGATGTTCTGACCATGTGTGGAAAAGTCTGCACTATGCAAATGAACCAAAAAGCTCACACTATGTAAACATGTCCTTAAGGTCACAAAACAACCCAACTATGTATAGCAGGACCATGTGAGCTATTAAATACTCTCTTTGCTCTGGCCCACTTCTCCCTTCTAAGTGTACTATGTCTTAATAAACTTTCTGTCCAACAACAGTATGTCTCTGCTCAATTCTTTGTTTTGTAACACAAACAAACAACTGGAAGCCCTCCAGAGGTGTCCTTCTATCCCACTATCAGCCAATATCCCAAGAGTAGTGGAATAAATACTAGTGACAACTTGAATGAGCTTGCAAATGTTTTCTCAGCCAAGGCTTGGTACTGCCACACTTTGGCTTTGGCTCTGAATCCAAGAATCCAGCTGAGCCCACCATATTTCTGACGTACTGAACTTCCAGCCAACAAAATGGTACCATTTCAAAGCATTAACCTTAATGTACCTTTTTATAACAGCCCTCATAGACTATGAGAGGGCAGACGAACAAATCAAGTCATTTGTTTTGGGCCTTTATTTTGTCAAGAACCCAGGCCAACTAAGCACTCAGTATGATAACCAGGAAGTCACAAAACAATAAGAGCAAATAAGGTCCTCAACAATGGTTCATGGCATGGCCCTGATTCAGTATCCAGTCAAGCCCAGTCATGCAGGACAAAAACCAACTTTCTTTCCTATGTCTATTCCTAGAGCCTGAAAGTTCTGACAACTTAATATGCATTAAATAGACATCTTTCAAGAGGCTGAATAAATCCAAATCACTACAAAGCTTCTAGAAAAACAAACAAAATAGCAAAAAAGGGAAATCAAGGGGCCAAAGGAAGCATATTTAAGAAAAAAAGAAAATGAGGTTCAGGTCTTTAATCTCTGCACCAGAAGGCAATGGCAGATGGCCTCAATTTGAGGCCAGCCTGGTCTACGTAGTAGTTCCAGGCTAGCAAGGGCTATGTAAAAAAGACTGTGTCTAAAAAGAAAAAAGAAAATATGGAAGGAATGAAAAACTGGAGGTGGAGAATAGTAATAGAGGAAGTCACTTTAGCAAGTGTAGGAAGTTAAAAAATTAGGGTGACTAAAGTATCAGATTTCAGCCAGCAGGAGGTTCCAGGGACAAATGAATCCAACTTGCTCACAAAGTTCTCTGTGAATACAACTCTAAACAGTTGATTTTCAATGATTCTCACTATCTCTGCACAAACACAGGTGTACACACACACACACAAAATTTTCCTTTCCTCCACACTCCATTAGCACATCCATTTCTCTGCTGGCCTTACTGATGTGATACAGGCAGGAGTTACCCAGAGGGGCCTCACCAATGAGTGGTCTTCTGGAAAACTTGAGAAAGGAAGTGGATGATGTGTCAGCATGTCTGGCCAACAGAAATCCCAGCTGTGTCTGGTCTGGCATGAAAGCCCCTCTCTAACGGGATGAGAAGCTACTAACCCTGGGTCCGGGCAGCTTGCTTCCAGCTGAGCTTGTTTTTGTTTTGCTTGCAAAATTGCCAAGACCTCTAAAGAAACAAACCAACTGTGTTTTAAGGTCTTGTTTTGTTCTGATGAATTCAACTTGCCAGAAACACGAAGTAGGAGTCTTGCCCACAATATTCATAAGCCTTCCTCACAGAGCCAAGTCTTGGCTAACTGCTCCTAGCTTGCAGCTATGATACAGTTTACAACTTGGGCTTCTAGAAGCAGTAAAGAAAACTGTTTTGATTGTAGAAAATGCTTTTTCTTCCTGTATCATACTACTATCTTTACCCATAAACAACTATTTAGAAAACAAGGCCAAGAGAACTGCCCTTTCTAGAAGAAGACAAATCTCTGGATTTTCCGCAATTCTAATTCAAGTTTCATGACACCACCAAGCAGGGTAACCACAAGAACCTAGGGTTTTACCCACAAATGAGAAGCCCACTGATTGTTTTGGTTGTTCTAGGTCATTAACACTCCAGGCACGCTATTAGTCATTCCATGGACCAAGAAGGTCAACTGAGGAAGATGTGTAGAAACCTGTTTCTGTGTGGAGATTGAGTCGTAGATGGGCTCTTGGGGAACCACACTAGGAGTCAGTCTACTATTTCCATCCTGACAGTAATCTTGAATGCATTCAAAAGGCCAGCAGAACTGACTCTGAAAACATCTCCATGACTTCATGTGAAACTGAAGAAGAGGTCTTCATGTGAAGAAGAGGTCAAGGGAAGCTGTGACACACACCCAGTTCCAGGCAGGTGAACCAGATGCCATTAGATAGTAGCAGAAATCACTGCCAACCTCATCATGGTTATCTTGGAATGGCCAGCAACCCAGAACTGACCTACCTGTCCAGGGTGTCAAGTCACTTATGCTACCTGGAGAAAAGGCTGCTTTAACTTCATTGCAAGTATAAAACACCAGAACCAACACTTAAGAAAAGTGTTTCTCAAAATTTCCATGGTTAAGTGACAGCAAGTTCATCAGTAAGCCTAACAGAAGGTGTTACTGTGGTAAGCAGAGGGGATATGAGAGGGAAAGAGAGCCTTTACTTCTCCAATTCACTTTCCACCTCTCACTTGCTGGCACCCAGCAGTTTCCATGCAATCATCCAGGCCACCTGAGAAATATCACATCTGATTGTCAAAGCTACATAATTCCTGCTGCTTTACATCTAATCCCTTTGTGGCCCGTGTATATAAGGATTCCTTGGTGACTATTTTCTCTCGACTCACACTCCTTTCTCCGGCTTCAAACCAGTGAGATTTACAAAGAAGTCTCTAGTTCAAGAACAGAACTCTGTAGAAAAGTAAGTATCCCAGTATATACTGTCCCCAGCAGCTAAACTGTCTTGCAGATGAAGCAGCAAAACACTCCCTCCAAATCACACAGGTAGCTATTGCTAAGACACTGAGTGTATGTCTCTTCTAGTGCATTCTGTCTTCCACTCAATCAACAAACCTGCTAACTTTGCTTTGAGTCAGTGTCAAGTTCTTTCCTATGGTAAATGTCAAGCACCTAGATGCACCTGAGTAGAGGTCCCAAGAGTTGATGGGGGCTCCTGGGGCCACACTGTCAGCAAAAGTTGACTTGTACCTTTTGTTACTGTTAACATTGCAGCCTGCAGATCTTACAATACATACAGTAAGCAATGCTGCAAGAAACCAAGCAAGTCAATTCATTTTTTTTTTTTTTTGCAGGTTCATGAGTGCAGAGGGAGAGGCAATGTGAACCATTGAGAATACAAAAGTTTTGACTAGTATAGAATTATCTGGATGGAATCGCTCCTCACCCTGGTAACCCGTTTACTTACAAAATGTGTTACTTCCCCATTATTTCACCTTAGATGACTTACTTAAGACTCAATTTTGAGCTTCTAAACTATAAACCAGAGTTTACAGCAGCAACCCAGAAGGTTGTGTTCGAGACAACAATGAGGGAAGCCAGGTGCAAGGCTTGGAGAAAATGCTCAATTTTAGCAATTTTAGAATCAACTTTCCAGTTCCTTTCCCAGGAAGCAGCACTTTGTGACTTACCCCTTGTAAGACTTGAAAGCTGTCATTGTTAGGTGGTGGGTCTTGATCTGGGTCAACACCAACTCTAAATGTCATCAGGGAAGAAAACAAGGAGAAGAAACAGAAAGTATTAGCTTGGCCCATGGCAGCAAATATCTTCCCAAAGCAGAAGGAACAGTTAGCTTCAAGGAGAGAAAGCCCATCATGCAGAAGTCAGATCCACACCATAGCAGATTGCAAAGAGTCTGGTGTTAAAAGGATACATGCCCTCAGTAAGGTGTCTGGGAAATATGCTGGCAGTTTTCCATCTGCCTTCCTATACCAAGCAATCTCCACTACTAAACCATGGTTCTCTTCTGCTTGGCTGCTTCCTCACTTCTGCCCTGAACTGCTTTGATGCCCACAATTTTGTTGTGAACTTAGACAGATATACAAAGAAGCATGGGAAGGACCTGTAGTGAACACCTACACAGCCACTGAGAGAGCCTACCATTACCATTTACTATAGCCTCTTTATTGCCATCTTCCCACTTCCCCATCCCACATCTTACTTCATGACACAAATGAAGCTGTGACATCAATACATTTCTTCTGACTTCTTATGTATATGTCTCTGTGTGTGTGTTCACATGCACACATCTGTGGATGCCTGTGCATGTGTGTACATATACAAAATGTATGAGTGCATTCGTGCATTCGTGCATGCGTGCGTGCGTGCGTGTGTCTGTGTAGGCCAGAGGGCAAACAAGTGTCATTCTTCAGAAGCCATCCACCTTGTTCTTCAAGATTAAGACTTTAATTTGGCCTGGAAATTACCAATTAGGTTATGCTTGCCCAGCAAGCCCAAGAGATCTGCCTATCTCCCCAGTGCTGGGATTAAAACCATGCACCTCGGCCTAGGCAGCCATCTTCCAGTTAACTCGCCAAAATGACCAACACAAAGGGAAAGAGGAGAGGCACTCGGTATATGTTCTCTAGGCCTTTTAGGAAACATGGAGTTGTTCCTTTGGCCACATACATGCGAATCTATAAGAAGGGTGATATTGTAGACATCAAGGGAATGGGTACTGTTCAAAAAGGAATGCCCCATAAGTGTTACCACGGCAAAACCGGAAGAGTCTACAATGTCACCCAGCATGCCGTGGGCATCATTGTAAACAAGCAAGTTAAGGGCAAGATTCTGGCCAAGAGGATCAATGTGCGGATTGAGCACATTAAACACTCGAAGAGCAGAGACAGCTTCCTGAAGCGGGTGAAGGAGAACGATCAGAAGAAAAAGGAAGCCAAAGAGAAGGGCACCTGGGTTCAGCTGAAGCGCCAGCCTGCACCACCCAGAGAAGCACACTTTGTGAGGACTAATGGGAAAGAGCCTGAGCTGCTGGAGCCCATTCCATACGAATTCATGGCCTAGTGTATAAAAGAAATAAAGGACCCAACTGCAGAGTTTTTCCTTAGGTTCAAAAAAAAAAAAAAAAAAAACCATGCACCATCATATCTCGCTTTTGACACAGGTTCTGAAGATCAAACTCAGGTCCTCATGCTTATACAACGAACACTTCATTGATAGCCATCTCCCCAGCTTCCCCTCTCCTGACTTCATTAGTATGCATAATGACGAAATTTCTCCTGTACCAAACTTGAGTCAGGCTTCTTTGAATCATCTTCCCTACTAAGAATTAACTTTTGGGCTTCTTTCCTTTACATCACCAAGTTTGACCAAGAATCTTCTTAAACTGGTTTAGCCAGGACTCCCACATTTGATATCTGATCTCTCTGCCATCTCCCAAGTGATATCTGATTTCTATGGCCTGCCTTTAGGAAAAATATCTCCTTACCTCTGATATTTCCTCTTGGCAGATTTCAACCATAATTCCCTATATCTCCCTCCCACTGCAAAAATCCCACCACCATAGACTCTACCTCACTCATAGTGGTCCTCACTAAAGCCTATCTTGCCTGGCAGTATCATTAACTGGAGTCTTGGTATACTTTCGGTGCCCTCTTTATCAAAGATGAGCAGAGAACTCAGATATTTGAGAGAACTTACACATTTGAGAGCAACTGAGGATTATGACTAAGTGGCAAAAAATCACTTACAATACATTCCTAAGATACACTACCTATGGCTGCATACATATTAATTGTTTATACCCAATCTTCCCCATTCTGAGACAGAGAGTTGGAACACAACATAGATAACATGGAATAGTGGGAGAGAAAATAGGCACCAGGAAAATCCTGTTCTCCTTTCAATCTCCCAATATCACAATATATGAACAGCATCATAACATGTAGCAGAGCATCAAGATTTCAGCAGCTCAAGACCATTATAAGCTTGAAGAGGGAAACTTTGCAGTTCAGTACACAGACGTCTTAGTCCAGCAAGCAGAAACTGTACTGGACATACAAAGCTGCAAATGCAAACTTATTTTTCTACTTCTTCCTCTCCGGAAATACCTGGGATCTACCTAAACCAAGGAGACCTCATGGAAGAAAAGATCCGTGAACATATACTTCGGGCACTAAAAGGCCTCCCAAAAAGTTACCTTAAGACACATGAAGAATCTAATGTATGAAAATGGCTAGAGGCAAAATTGCATTCAGAACTCCTGTTTCTTCAACTCTTGCCTGTTTTTTAGAGACCCTTAATACACAATCCATACTAAAGCATCCTCTACATGGTGCTCTATAAGGTATCCATAGTGACATCTATAAGGCCAATAGACAGGAGTTTACGATTAGACCTTACAAAGCAGCACAAAACTACTTTGTACCAGACAAATCTGAAAGTGAGCTGCTGGGTGCAGACTCAGAGGAGCAGTATCTCTCAGAATGCTAAGGTGACATGGTTGCCCTCAACTAAGCCACAGAAAGGCTGCTAAATGGCATGGAATAACCAAGAATATGACACTTCAGATCTGCTACTAAGAATTCCTCTTCTCCACACTGAGGATTGTCAAAGAAGTTTGCTTCTTAGATGGCTTCTACATTAGTACATGTAAAGCAAACTAACTTTATATCAGCCTACATGAAATAGGCCCACAGGGAACACTGTACCATCACAAGGAAAATAAAATTAAATGTAATAAGAGATGCCAAAGGAAAATTAGCTCTAGTCCTGGAATCTTTACTACAAGAAGAAAACATATTTGACAAAATCATTTTGGTTTGTGAATACAGATTAGCCTATGTAGCCTTGACTGGCCTGAAATTTACTGTGTAAACCATGCTCTGAACTTTGGTAATCCTCCTGCCTCTGCCACCCGAGTTCTAGAAAAACTTTAAATTGATTCTGTTTTAAAAGAACTACTGATAATAGCTAAAATTGATCTATTTTAACTCAAATCACAGAAATAGCAATGAGACTCATCATTCACTTTAGGTCCATGTGGCCAGAATTCCAAACAGAGTAAAACACTACATCCAAACATTTTATGGTGAACTCCAGAAATTAGAACCATCTTAATTTGACCACAAGTTCATGATGGTCACAATTTGTTATGGGGAAACTCGAGAGTCTAGGTCTATACTCTATGATAGAACTTTCTGCAGTGTTCTTTACCTGCAGTGTCCAGTTAGAGCACCTGCTGGCCACATGTGACCTTTGAGCACTTGGGATGTCGTTATTATGAGTGAGAAATTGTATTTTCCACCTTACTTTTTAGCTAATTAAAACTTTAAATAACCATGTGTGGACAATGAAAGTATAGATTTTTAAATCAACACTGATTTCAGCCAGGTTTTCATACTGTCAACACTTTTTTGTTCTTTTTGATAACTCTTTGCTTTGTCCACACTAACACCCAGATTTCTGTTAGGATTTTGTAGGGACACAACTTCAAATCCACACTATAAGAAAAAAAATTCTCTTGAACTGAATACCTAGACATTGAAGAGACTGTTTCCTTTATCTGTATCTAAAATAACTTCCCAAACCCCCTATGATTCTATAAAAGAAGAAGAATTATAAAGTCTTTGTGTTCTTTCCTCAGTGCAATCAGTAGTGAAGGATTTCATTGCTGGCTCATATGTTGGCAAAAGATCACACTACTGGTAACTTTTTTAATTGCATAAAGAAAAATGACACTTTGATACTAGAGGGTCCTAGGATTAGTATTGTACAATAGCTAAGTGCCTAAATGGAATGTCACTAATAATTGGACAGCGTAAAACATGTACTACCTAAAAGTATGTAACAAGAAACATACTTTGCAGCATTTTTGATGAAATGATTGTTTGCCTCTGGTCATAATAAAACATCAGGAAAAAATCCCAATTATAAGATGCTTTGTTAAATAACTATCCCAAATACTTAAAAAAAAAAACAATGTTATAAGAAACTATGAAAAGAAGGTGAATTGTGGCAAGAGAATAAACAGACGTGTCCATAAGCAAAAAAGTTTGTTGGATCCTGAATGTGTAAAATTTGTGTTATTTTTTTTAGACGCAATTACACAGGAGATTGAACACCAGTAGCATTTAGAAGTAGATTCAGGATACCTGACTCATACTGGAATAAAAAAGGTAACAAATTCTACTGATCTGTTGAGTCCAAGTTAGTACCAGAGTAGTCACAACTCCAGTCTTTCCTTTTGGGAGAAAAACTTAAATCACAGTTAAGAATCTTTAATTATACCTTTGGTAAAGATTTTTCAAAAACACATCAGCCTATTTTCCTATCTGTAATTAATTGATCAATAGTGATAATTTATAAACTAATTTTATTTCAGAGTCCAAAAAGCACAAATTGTAAAGATTCACAACATGGGGTACTAGAATTGGTAAGCACAGGCAATGGACAAATAAAAATTTTCATAATTGTGCAAGATTTTCTTCTTGATAATTTCAGAAATATTTTTGCTGAAATTGTTTTTTCCTAAAAGTAATGGGCATGAAGAAAGTCTTGAGTTGACTCAGACACACTTAATGAAGTGCTAAGCAACGCAGCCATATTTAGATCCAGTTGTGCCACTCCATGATGACTTGAAGCTCTAGAGACAGTCCTACTCAATATCTGCTTTCCTTATCTATATCAGTCTTCTGTGTGGAAGGTCCAATCTTCACTGGAGGCCCCCACTATCTACCACATATCTGAGATGCTTAGAGCCTGACTGTACAGAGCCTAAGGGAAGCCTGGCTCTTCCCAGTTTGACTCTTGGGGTCTTATGGAGGTGCCAACTACTAATATAAGGTACTAAGGTAGCAGAATTCAAGAAGGGAAATAAATACCTGCTTTTCAACTTACCATGGCTTTATAAAAGACCCCTAGAAGACAGATGGGAGCTATGACACAAAGGTTATTCTGCATTTTCTCCCATATTGAGGTTGTTTACTTTAGAGTGATTTAATAATTACTTTTCTGGCATTTGGAAGGGCCCTTGGACCAATCCCCAAGGATGACACACAGTATACTGGGACTCCAATAAAGGCCTCCACCCTTGGGGCACAGCCCAGAACCAAACTGGTCTCTGTGAATAAGAGTAAAGCAACGGGCCAGAACACTTGGAATGGTGCTAAACAGCAAGGAAGACCAGACACCGGCTTTTGATTGCATATTCAGAGTCCCATAAGATTTAGCTTTTTCAAATTGCTGTTTTTGGCAACTGTTTAAAAGGTATTTATCTCCTGACTTGTTACATCTGGGATGTTACAGAAACCTGAACCTTTATTATATTACATTTCAGCATTCAGATCCAGCTAGGGAGAGCACACTGCAACAGACACAGCAGTCCTTTCCTCCAGAATGAACTGAATTATCCTTAGGTCCATTAAGAATGAGACAAATGTGGAAATTCTATGCCAAACAAGAACAGGAAGAAGTCAAATGGATGCATTTTTTTCTGTACTAAATAAATACACCAAAGTTAATAACTTTCATTCTAGAACAATAGCTTGTCTACTGTGGTTAATGGATAAAATGCCATGAAATCTCAGAAAAATTCTATTTTAACCAATATTTTTTAGGAAGTTCTGGAGATTAAATCCAGGGCCTCAAGTACATTAAGCATGCATTTTACCACTGATACATATTTCTAGAAACCAGTAATTTTAAAACATATGAATAATCAAAGTTCTGGTTAATTTGAGGAATATGAGATATAAATCTACATATCAATCTTGAGCATCAGATTATAATCTAAATTTTCTTGTGTCCCAAGTAATACTGGCCTAAATAACTTCTTCCTTGAAGGCAGGACACTTCAGCAGAAAGAGTTCCTCTGCAACTCTATTAGTAAATATGTATGTGTGTGAGTGTGTATACACACGTGCGTGTGCATCCATACATGCATGTTGCAACAGTAATAAGCATGAACTCAATGAGATACTTTAACACTTCCATGAATTTTATGTGTGCCATTACAGAATATATCTGGGCTATATTCCAAGACCCACACCCCACTCATTTATAGATATTGTTTCCTTCACCCTGTCTTTAGTGAGCAGAATATTTTTACAAGTTCTGAGTTCAAGCTGATTTTGCAATGAATGGATCTACAGATCAGACCAGGAAGAAAGCATATCACCCAGAGATCCAGAAAGGCAAGAACGAACACTGAAGGTTTTTATTTTGCTCCTACATCACCACTCTTAAACACAATGGCATCGTACACACTTGGATGTAGGCCAAGAAACAGTGTTAGTAAAAACTTCATCCTTTTGTTCATTTAAAAAAATGTTCATGTCATCTAAACCATTGTGAGAAAGTATAGATACACAAATACATACTTAAAAATATGTAACACTGAGGCACAGCCAGCAGAGACAGGAGCCAAGTAGAACTGTCCTCTGAGAGGCTCCACCCAGAAGCCAATGGAAACAGATGCAGAGACCCACAGCCGAACATTAGATGGAGCTTGAGGAGTCTTGTGGGAGAGTTGGGGGAAGGACTGAGGGACCCAAATAGGACAGGACTCTACAGGAAGACCAACAGAGTCAGCTAACCTGGACCCTTAGGGCTCCCAGAGACTGAACCACCAACCAAAGAGCTAGTGTGGGCTGTACCTAGGCCTTCTTGCACATGCGTGGCAGATGTGCAGCTTGATTCATGTAGATCTCCCAACAGCTGGACTATAAGCTGTCCCTGACTCTGTTGCCTGCCTATGGATCCAGTTCCCCTAACTGGATGACCTTGTCTTACCTCAATGGGAGAGGATAAGCCTAGTCCTACAGTGACTTGATGAGTGGGGAGGAAGGGGTGACACCCATAGGGGCTCCTCCTTCTCAAAGGAAAAGAGAAGGGGGAAGGATCTGGATGAGGGGGTCCTGGGAGGAAAGGGATATATATATACATATATATATATATATATACACACACACACACACATACTCTAGTCAAGGCTGAAATATTAAATTCTAGTTCTCTGCATTAGTTACAAAGCTTTACTTACTATATCAAAAACAAGGTTTTCTAGGAAAAGTATAGGTGGCTCTGAAAACGAGCTGTCTTTAACACAAAACTCATTCAGTTGAACAAAAAAATATATAGACTTTGGGGTTGAAAACTCATGGTTCAAAATGTGGGAGGAAAGCACATAATTTCAATAACACTGGCACACAAATCAACGTGGAGGAAAGACGGAAAAAAATATTAGAAATGATTTTCCTGTTGCCCATGGGGTAAGGATTGGTGCATTCAAGAAGGAAAAGGCAAACAGCATAAAGAGAAATCATTCAAGTTAGAAGAGAAACGCAAAGCACAGTTGCTTATTTTCTGAGTAGTCCCTGTGTCACCTGAAGTACTGCCATCGATGCTCACTCTGGTCCTCTTCAGAGAGTTCCTCCACACCAACTCTGGGCAGCAGAAGAAGGAAATGTGAATGTGATGGGACAACACAGCTACCAGGATCTATGGCATCTAGCCTGAACCATGCTAGAAAGAAGGGCTATCTCACCTTCACCAGAAAGTCATAGTCCCTTTTTTGTTCCAGTACTGAGGATGGAACTCAAAGTCTTGAAAACACTAGGTAAGTGGTAACCATGCAGCTGCATAATTATCTTTGGTTATCCCCATTCTCTAAAACTCAAGAGGCAGAGAGGTTGCTAAATTTAAAGCAACAATGTTAGAAGCTAGGTCATGAGGAACAATTGATAATAATGTTAAGCCTCTCAAAGCATAATACAATAAAATCAGATGAATAAGTGTATAGCATATAACTTAGTCTACAAATATTTCTGGAGCTCATCTGTTTCATAAAGGAAGATATGACCATAGAAAACAGAAAATTGTTACTAAACAATGAACATATATTTAGAATATGTGCATATTTTATACCTAGTTACCAGAAATAACAAAACTCACTATATTACTGAAAATCAACAATACTGAGAATATAAAAATGGCCATTTTTTTTCTAGATAAGCAAACAACATTGTTCACAACTTCAACCTGAAGACCATGAACCCAACTCTGGCTCCTTTGTTTTCTTTGAGGTCTCTGGATTGATGTGTCCTTTCACTTTTCTTAATGATTTCTAGATTACTCAGACAACACTGAACTTTGTCATCATGCTACAACATGGTTTTGCAAACTCAGCACTATGAACATTTGAATCCACAATTATTCTCTGTTGGGGAACCATTCTCCTGTGCAATGTAGAATGTTTAGAAACATCCCTGCCTTCTATTTACAGGATGCCAACAGCAACTACCCCAGCTGCCCCAGAAGATAGACCTTTTTGGTTTAAAAACAAAAAGACAGTTGGTTTTGGTTTAATACATTTCCATGTGTTCACAGATGTTTCCCAGGTAGAGAAATTCTCCTTAGTTGGAAACACTGCACTAAATTATGTACTCGCAATACAGTAATATCATCCCTGTGGGTGTGAAAACTGGTCCTTATGGAACAAACATTAAAAAAAAATCCTAAAATGCACATTGGATAAGTTTGAAGTCATCCAAAGCATTATAAAACATAAAGACATAGCAGATCTGTGGTACTAAAATTTCACTGCAATTAGTTGTAGCATGTAGTTTTTGCTATCTGCTTTAAGCCCCAGATGGACCATGCTACCAGCCCCTCCCAAGTTCCCTCAGATCTGTGGATGAAAGACACACACACACACACACACACACACACACACATTAGCTTATTTTTATATGCTTTAGCTCAATGGTCAGGCTCTTCTAAGCCTTCCTGGGATATTACATCCTTCTTTTCACTCCCAGCTCAAGATCCCAAATCTGCCCTCAGCTTTAGTTGCTTAATGACCTTTAGTCTCAGCTCAATGCCCTAAATCTGCTCTCAGCTTAGTTACATTTCTAACCTCCCGCCTGCTACCCCAGGCCCAGTCAGAGAAGTGGCCAATGGCCACTCCACCCTAGATCTCACATGGCTGGTGGCTATTTCTCCCTCTGAAGCAAGGCGAATTCTTCTCCTCTTTTGTGTCTGCTAGCCTGCCTGTGGGAAAACTGGAATTCCCGCCTATTCCACCCAGCTCATTGACCACTGGCATCTTTATTGATCAATCAAGAACTAATTGGGGAACAGGACCTTCAGTGTTCACATGCACATTCCCGATCAAGGCATCACAACCACCCTCTACAGTTAGTTGGAAAAATTGAGAAACATTGTGATAGACAATTCTCAAATTCTCATTATATTGTATCCCTTGAAAAATGTAAGAGATCATGACATGTCATAAGGCAATATTTTCAATTAATTACATGGTCAGAATGAGACTACACTTTAAACAATAATTACTATAGGAAACAATAGAAAAACAAACCAGGATTTCTTGAATTTAAGATTTGTTGTTGCTTGAGTGATTATAACAACAACAACATAATTGGGTCAGGGACCCAAGTTCTTCCTGCTAAAATACTAATTCTGAGTATAATGTATCTTAGAAAATATTAAGTCACAAACACTGTTACATAAAGAACCCAAGGTTTCTTCTCATCTGTATTCTTTATGCTATCTGGAAGAGAATGTTACCATAATTTCTCAGCCAGATAGAATTAACACCAGAGTGTTTGTACTTGCCCTTGAATGACTGTATTACTTATCTGTGGGCTGTGAAAGTTAGCTGTTCATTTGACGACCTAGATGTGTGTCCTTCCACTGCCTCCCTACTCACTGTGCTCTAAGAGAAAGGCCATCATACCACCACAATGTGTTTTTGATACATAGATTGTTCATCTGTTGAAATAATTCCATAACTCCTCTAAATTGCCGAAATTAAGTCCTTTGTAAATAACAGCACTTACTCAAGAGACTAAAAAGAATAAGCAGTTTATATATTAACTAAAATATTTGAACATTTCCCATTACATTTTAAAATATCAAAATACTGATTTTAAAATATAAATTTGACTTATTATGGACATAAGTGACCTAGTTTTGGAATTGTGGTTATACTCATAGCTTTTCTACATAAACAAACTTGAAATTAGCTATGGTCAAGAAATTACAGCTAACCAGGCATGGGAGCACATTTAATCCCAGCATCCTGGAGGGAGAAACAGGTGGATCTCTGTGAGTTTGAGGCCAGCTTGGTCTACACAGTAAGTTCCAGGACAGTGGGAGCTTCATAGTGATACACTCACTGCCTCCCCCACTACCCCCCCCCAAAAAAAAGGAAAGAAAGAAATCATAGCTAACATCTAGTTATTTATAGAAGAACTCTAAGATCTGCCTCAGTACTACTTCTGAGCAACTGCCTACACTCATCAGCAGTTGAAGAAATAAGGAACAAGTAAGAAAGTAGGCCCTACTTGAAAATGATCCTACTGAGTTTACAGGGTTCAAAATACCATAATGAATATCGGGGGTTTCTGAGTCAATTTAAAATAAGAACTCGGTTACAAAAAATACTTGAAGTCACTAAGTAACATCATAAGCCACAAGCCAAGAAAAACCAACCACTCTCATTACCTTATTTTGGAAAGAACTTCTTTTGGTGAAATTTATATAAATGTCAGTGTCTATACTTAAATAATCATTACTAATACAATAATACATGTTCCTTCACTTGAGTGTGTGGTTGAGCTGAGGAAAAAAAACCAAGAAGGATAAAAATAAAATACAGGAACAGAAATCGGTAAAATGAAAATCAGAGAAACAGTAAAATAAGTGGAATAAACAGGTAATTAAAAACAAACAAAAATGCTTATATGGAAAAAATCCACCAGCCAGAAATAGTGGCATATGCCTTTGAACCCAGCACTGGAGAGACAGAGGTGGGTGGATCTCTGTGAGTTCTATGTTAGCATGTTCTAAATAGTGACTTCCAGGACCCTATATCAAAAAATAAACAAAAAAAAAAAACCCTCCACACAAACCCCTAGCAAGTCTGACAAAAATTACTAGAAATTATTAGGATAAAATGTATTCCTAATTATTAGGAATTACTAGGAATAAAATGTAATAATAATAATAAAGGAGATGATATCACTATAGACCCCAGAAACATCTAAAGAACAATCAGGGAACAATATGTGTCCCTAGCACAATAGTTAGGGTTACTATTGCTGTGGTGAAACACCAGGACAAAAAAAAAGCAAGTTGGGGCTCTTCTCTTCTTTCTGAACACAAGCTCTTTCTCTTTCTCCCCACCCTCTCTCCTCTCTCCCCATGTTGACTTCCCCAGCCTCAATCCTTGGAGCCAGTGAGCTCGCCCAAACCTTTAATATAATCTAAAAATATTTTTTAAACAATAAAGCAAGTTGATTTATTTGGCTTATACTTCCATATTGATGTTCATCACCAAAGAAAGCTAGGACAGGAACTCAAACAGGGCAGGAACCTGAAGGCAGGAACTGATGCAGAGGCCATGGAAGGTGCTGCTTATTGGCTTGCTTCCCATGGCTTGTTCAGCTTGCTTTCTTAGAGAATCCAGGACAATCAGCCCAGAAATGACACCACCCACAATTGACTGGGCCCTCCCCCATCACTCACTAGTTAAGAAAATGCCCCATAATCTTGCCTACAGCCTACTCTTATGGAGACATTTTCTTAACACAGGTTCCCTCTTCTCAGATGACTTTAGTCTGTGTAAAGTTGACATAAAACTATCCAGTACACTGAATAACATTAACTTGATAATTAGATCAAACTGAACATTTCATAAAGAATCACAGTTCACTTAATATGAAATAGATAATCTGAAACAGCCTCATTAAATGACATAGTTTAAAGATTTCTGAAAAAGAAGTCTTATGACCTATATAGTTTCACTGGAGAATTCTACCAATAAGTAAAAGAAAATAACTAATACTAAATATATAAAGAAGAGTAGAGAACAGTTTATGTTGTGGGGCCACATTACCCTGCTACTTAAACCAGACAAATACAATCCAAAAAGGAGAACTCTAAACCATACCCCAGGGAACACAGAAAAATTAAGCAAGCATTTGTTCAGAGAGTTAATCAATATTCAAATAATATACCATAACCAAGTAGGGTTTATTTCAGAAAAACTAGATCAGTTCAGAATTTGAGAATGTATCACTGCAATCTACCAGAGTAAAGAGCTAAACAAGAAAAAGTATATGATCACACCAACTTATGCCAAAAATAAATTTGTTAAAAATAAACAGGAGGACCAGCAAGATGGCTCAATGGATAAAGGCATTTCTTGCCAAGTCTGATGACCTGAGTTCCATCCTCAAGATATACATGGTAGATGGAAAGAAGTGACTCCCTAAAAAATTGTCACCTGGCCGCCACATGTATATCATGGTATGTGTTCTCTGTCCCCAAATAAATAAAATGTAACTTTAAAAAATTAAAAAACAAACTAACTAATATGAGAAAGAAATTTACTCAATCTGATGATGAATAGCTACAAAAA